AGCCTGGAGAAGCTGTGCGGGCCGGCAGAGGCAGCGCCCGGTTCCGCGGAGCCCGAGCGGCCCCAGGGCGCGGCGCTGGAGCGGAGCCCGAGCGCGGACTCTGGTGAGTGCGGGGCGGCTTCCGCTTAGAGCTGCCCGCCTCCCCCGACCCCCGCGACCTGCGCCTCAGGCCAGGCGCCTCTCCTACCGCGGGGGACGGGGGCGGGCAGCTCTAAGTGGCCCCAAGGGCCGTCAGCGCCTAGAGGGAAGGGGCCCTCTCGCCTTCCCCGGTGTTCTCCGCGGCCGGAGGCAGGCCAACCCCTCCCCCGCCACCGTGGGAGGCTACCAGGGCCAAGGGGCGGGTGGGTGACTCCAAACTCCACCAGGAAGTCGCCCTACCCGGCCTGAGCTGAGCATTGGGGATTCCTGCCCCACACCTGGGGACACTAAGGCCCTCAGTTGCATCCCTGATAACAGCCTAGACAGAGGAGTTTCCCTCTAGTGCAGAGGAGAGAGGCTACCCCGACTGAGAGGGGCCCTCTCTGCCTTTTTGGGTGCTTAGTTTGGCGGCTCCACCAAGAGGGCTGGGCCCGCTGCCCCCACCACCGAGGCCGGTGGAGGTGTCCCAGGAAGAGTCAAGTGGTGGGTGGGTGGGTCTCCAGCCCAATCTTCAAGGCCTGCTGGGCTGACACCAGGGGGAGACCCAGACGCAGCGCCCCGTGGGTGGTCAGCTGGGTCCTTGCCTGGCTTCCAGTGCAGTTGGCAGTGACAGGAGATGGCTGAACGACCCCGGTGGGCCCCTCTAGTGTCTGCTCTGGGAATAGCAGCTGCATTATGGATTGGGGCCGGGTCCAAACCCCTCAAGGCGTTCAGCCTGCATGCCTGCACCCCTGGGCACCCCTCTGAGGATGGACGCAGGGCTGGGCAGGTGGCTAGTGCTCCCCATGGGGCAGCTTTAGGCTCAGGCCAGCCTCTCACTGTCACCTTTACAAACAGGCCCAGACAAGAGGCATGGCATGTGTGCGGGGTGCCAAATGTGGAGCTCCAAGATCCCCTGGCTTCCCAGGAAGAGAAAGGCCCCATACCCACAGAGCCCCCCACCCCGAGATCCAGGCCCCCCTTCTTTGGCCCTGATGGAGCTCAGTGCACCCAGGCCTGCCCTGGCCCAGCGGGCACAGGCTCCTCGCTCAGGCCCAGACGGGGACCGGGCTCCCTGCGCCTGCTGGTCATCCAACTGAACACTCAGTGTGCTGTCATCCGGGAATCTGGGAGCTGCCCCCAGACCAAGCCCAGGTGTTCTGGGATTGTTCCCTGCCCCCCGGCCTCCCTCTGCTCTATCTTCTCTGCCAGCCATGTAGCACGGGCAGGTTGGGACGCGATCACTGGGCTTGCTTGGAGCCTGTCTGCTAGGGCTGGCCAGAGGCCTGCCCTGCCACCTGGTGCCAACCCTGTGGACATGTCCCCTTCTTGCATCACCCCCTGCTCCCCTTTGCCAGTGCCAGGGGCATAGCCTGTGAGGCTGAGCCTGGTGTGGGGGATAGGGCTAGGGAGCCAGGGGAAGGCGATTTCCTCCACACCTGCACCCCACTCCTCCCCTCTTGGGTTGCCCTGCATACACTCCCCATCCCCCAGGGAAGCCAGCTGGCCCTGCTGGCTTTTCACCCCTAAGCCGACTCCGCCACAGGTGGATGCCTGAGCCATAGAAACTCCTAAGTTATGCGCTGAGCACGGTGTTTGCACGTATGTGTTGGCCCGACTTTGTTTTATCCTTCCTGGGAAAAGTTAGGTCTGGGCCAACTGTGCCCTCCCATTTCACCTGCCCCAACTCCTGCTGCCCTTAAAGGCCCCGGCAGACAAGGAGAGAGAAGCAAGGAAGCCCGGGGCTCTGTGCACGGGGGATGCCCAGACAAACTGGGTAAAGCCCTTGCCCTCAGGGCGCTCATGCTGGGGCATGTGTGTACAAACATGCAGCCTCAAGGACCAGACAGCCCTCCCCAAGATAGGGGTAAGGCGAGTTGGTGGGGGTCAAGTGGGGAACCAGACCCCACAGAGGCAAAGTGTGTGCAGGGCTAGGCGGTTGCCCACGCCCCCGGAATGGGTTGAGATGGGGCGGATCCATGCAGAGGCTCCGAACTGCCCACGACCCCAGAGGCATGTCGGCCTGGACACCCAGCTTTGCATTGCCAGGCTTGGGGTGGGGGGCATTGAGCTTGACTAGGCAGGCCTGGAAATGAGCCAGGGCCTTGCCTCTCTCTGCAGGTGCACTGGCCTGCAGGCCCCAGGAGCTTGGCCCAGGCGATGCCCATCGGGCCCCCCGTGCTCGAGGGGAACGTCGCAGACACACCATCACCAGCGGTGTGGACTGTGACCTGGTGAGTGAGGGCTCTGGGGGATTCTCCAGCTTGCCTGGGATTGCACTTGGCCCCCACGCTTGGTCTCCTGGACCACCCCTCCGCCTGGGAGGTAGCAGCCAAAGCTGGGTCCCAGGGGCTGGAATGTCAGTTAATTACCAACATGTCTCCCCGGCGGGCTTGAACCCGCTTGAGGGATGGCTCAGGGCCAGATGAAGTCCTTTAGAGAGAAGCAGCCTGGGTGTGCTGGGGCATGTGGAGTGGGCACGGCCCCTCCCCAGAACGGCCCGCACCAGCTGGCTTCATGACCTCCCCTTCGCCAGGTTGGCCCGGCTCACCGGCTGCGTGCACACCGCTTGCCCGAAGGGGCGCTGCTGAGCTGGGGAGTGTTGCCTGTGTGCCCCAGGGGCAGGCTGCGTGGAGGGCTGAGGGAGGGCCGTGTTCTGGGGGGCTGTGGGGTGCGGGGTGGTCTGTGGGCCGTGGCTCCGCACGCACACACGGAGGCCCGCGCAGTGAGCACGGTCTGCGTGCTCACTCGCACGTGTGCCCCCCACGGGGCAGCTGAAGCAGATGCGGGAGCTGGAGCAGGAGAAGGAGGTGCTGCTGCAAGGTCTCGAGTTGATGGCGCGGGGCCGTGACTGGTACGGGCAACAGCTGCAGCGCGTGCAGGAGTGCCAGCGCCGTCTGGGCCAGAGCAGGGCCAGCGCCGTGAGTGACGCCGCCCGAGGCTGGGCTGTCCCTGTCCCCAGACCCAGCAGCACCCCCGGGGCGGCACAGGACAGCCCTATTCCAGGGCACATTCCCTCCCCCAGGGTGCTGGGACCCCCCCCACACACCCTGGGTCAGAATCCTCCGCCGGCAACACCGAGGGCTCCCTGTCTGCTCCAAGCAGTCATCTGGGGGGACAGAAGCGCCACCGTGAGGACCCCCCTCAAGGCACGGTGGCTGATCTTTGGCTGGTCCTGCTCGCTGACCGTCCCCTTTCCTGCTCTCCTCCCAGGACTTTGGCAGTGAGGGGAGCCCCCTCCCACTGGGCCGGCTGCTACCCAAGGTGCAGGAGGTGGCCCGGCGCCTGGGGGAGCTGCTGGCTGCAGCCTGCGCGGGCAGGGTGAGTGCCCCCCAGGCCGCCCAGCCCCCGCAGAGGGCCCGTGCCCAGCGTGGCGCCACCCCTCACCCTGTGCCCGGGAATGCCAGGCCTGCCTGACCATGCCCTCCCGTAGGCTCTGCCCTCGTTGTCCTCGGGGCCCCCGGGCCCGGCCCCGGCCCCCGCCTCGCCCTCAGCCCCAGGCTGGCAGCAGCAGACCATCCTCATGCTGAAAGAGCAGAACCGGCTCCTCACGCAGGTGAGGAGCAGGGAAGGATGGGGGTGGGGGCTGGAGGCCTGGTGGGCCCTGACCGACTTCCCGCCTGCCCAGGAGGTGACCAGCAAGAGTGAGCGTATCACACGACTGGAGCAGGAGAAATCTGCCCTCATCAAGCAGCTGTTCGAGGCGCGCGCCCTCAGCCAGCAGGATGCCGGGCCCTTGGACTCCACCTTCATCTAGCTGGCCGTGGGCGTGGACACAGCCCTTAGGGCCTGGCCTGGCCGTCAGCCCGGGCAGGTACCTCTTTGAGCCCCTCTTAGGCTGAAGACCACCTGACTGGCCTGGACACAGGTTTCTCCCTCTCTTGCATTCTGGGCTCCCCCAGGCCCCCCAGACCCCGTCAGCCCCAGGTGGAGCCAGCGGGTGGGCTGTGGGCCAGAATGTGCCGTGGCCCCAGACACGGACTGGGTCCCAGCCTTCATTGTGCTAACATAGCGTGAAGCTGCTACTGCTGCCGTCAGTGGACAGTGGGGGGCCCCCCATGTCTACCAGATCTCAGGCAGCTCTGGGCAGGCGGGCTTTACGCTGGCCTGTCCTCTCTGACCTGGGGTCTCCAGGGAAAGGTACTGGACCCACTAGGCTGCACTTCCGGCTGCGGCCAGCAGAGGGTGCTCGTGCACGACAGCCGGAGCCGCCCGGCAGCGGCCACTGCGAGGTCTCCCCTGGGGAGGGCTCTGTCCCCACGAGAGATGTCAGCATGGGCCCCCCAGGGGTGCCCCCCAAGGTTCCTTGTAGTCCACGCACCCCCACCGGGGCCTGCCCCACATGATTCAAGGTTCCCAGGTGTAGGGACCCCCCACACCCTCCCTGTCCCCCCCCCCAGCTCGGTGTCAGACTTGGGCCGGCTCAGCCACAGAGCAGGAAAGCCACCGGGTCCAGGAAGAGACGAGGCAGGGTCCTTGTCAGGGACAACTCCCCACCCCTGCACCAGGCCTCCCCCGAAGGGGGAGCCTCCACCCCACAGGGACTCGCCTCCCACACCGAGGACATGACATCACTGTTGGGTTGTGCGGTGGGGGGGCCCCAGGCATGGGGTGTGAGACCCCATCAACCAGGAGAGTTTGGGCACGTGGACTCCCACAGCCCTGGAGGGTGCCGGCGGCAGAGGAGGGGTCCGGGGTGAGGGTGGCTGGCTGCCCCCTGTGGGCCCCAGCTCTGAGTTCCCCACGCTGGGCTTGCAGACGGTGAGGGGGATTGTCCTGGGTCAGGCCCAAATCTGCGCAGCATGCAAGCTGCCCTCCTCGGAGGGTGGGGTGGGCTCTTCTGGGGAGCCCAAGAACCCCCAGGTCTAGACCCACGCAGGCTCTGTGGGAGGGGAGCCAAGAGGGGAATGGGTCTTGAAGAGTAAGACAGGGCCCCCAGCACCCACTGGGACATGTAGAGCAGTGGCCACCCTGGAGAAATCCTCCCAATTGACAGTTTGGGACCTACTCACCAGGAGCTCTTGGATCTGCTCTCCCCCACTTCCGTCCCACGTCCTCCACACCTGACCCTGAGCCCACCCTCTCACTGGGAGTCTCTGCTCACAGGTTCTCCAAACGCAACCCGTGACATTTCCAAAACTGAAAACTGTATCCCGCCCCCCCCCCACTCTTGATCCTCCTGTGACCCTATTGCTCAGGGCAGCCCCTGGGCTGGGCCTCTACAGCCTTTCCCAGGTCCTGCCAGGAGCTGGGCTGCAGCCGGACGGCCAGCCTCCCACCTCTGGTCTTTGCAAACGGTGTTCCATCTGCTAGAACACCCCCTCCCCGCTTCACCTTGCTCACCCCTACCCAGCCCTCCACGACAGAACGAAGGAATCTGAGGAAGCCATTACAGTGGAGGAGGCAGCCGTGTCCCCTGGGGTGTCTGCCTCACCTGGAGGTTCTGCATTCCCTCTGCTGTCTTCACATGAGACAACACGGTGTCCGCCCCAGCTGTCTTTCACCAGGAGACCCTCCTCAGGAAGCGCCACTTCACTGCAAGATGAGCTGGCTACATGGAAGGCAACTCAGGGATAGAACCCCCCTTGTCCTCGGTGCTCTACCCAGGCTGTAAACACATGTCCTCTTTGTTTGCAGTCTGAAACCAGGCTACCTGTGGGCCCTAGACACCTCCAGGGAAGAAGTTTAAGTGGCCCCAGGTTGGCAGGTCCCGGTCAGGTGGCAGAAGCAGACCCATCCTCTGCAGAGCACTAGTGACATTTGGGGCTGAGTAAGTCAGGGGCAGGGGATGCTGTCTTACGGTGTGATGTTGATGTTCACACCCTCGGTTGTGACAACTAAAATGTCTCAAGAGGTTGCCAGATGTCCCAGGGGTGGTGGTGGTAGAAACATCGTCCCTGACTGAGAATCACTGCCCCAGTGATTTCATGTAGGTCAAGTCCCAAGGAAAATGAGCACCTCTACATTAAAAAGCTTTTTCACACACACCAGGAGTGCACCCACCACGACAGCCAGCAGAAAGAACAGATTCCGCAAAAATTTAAGATATTGGAATTATCAGAGAATATACAATAACTTTTATATGTCTGAAGAAATAAAAGATTCTTGAAAATATAAACAAGGAATAGTCTTTATAGTTTCTTATTCTGTGAAAGCATAAGCTTTTGGTCTATAAAGATGAGCAATAAAGCATGAAAAAGCAAACAACCTATAGAAATAAAATGGAAATGAGAACCTCAAATGGATTAAGCTTCCGATGAAAATTTTCAGCTGGAGAGTTAGTGAACCAGAAGAGCTTAGGAAGTGATCCAGAACACAGCCCAGAGTCAGAACAAGAGGCGAGAGTCACTCATCTGGTTGCATTTCCTAGAAGAGGACAAGGAAGGGGGAGCTATATGATGATAAACTGGCTTTAAGTTTCCCAGAATTGTCTAAAAACCTCCGTTCTCTGATCCAGAAATCCCAGCAAATGCCAGCCAGGCTGAATAGGAAGAAAGGCACATTCTCACAAGATCATGAAAGAATCCAGGGAGGAAAGCAGTTGCCTACCAGGGAGCTCATCAGAGGCCCGGGGGAGAGGAAGGCAACGGCCAAGACAATGTAACCACCAACACACAAGGCCAGACCCAGGGAAACCCTTTCAAGAATGAGGGTAACATAAATAAAAACATTTCCTCCCCCCACACCCCGAAATGCGAGTTTACCACCCACAGGACTTCACTAAAGAAAATTCTGGAGGAAGGACTTCAGAAAAAAGGCAGAAGTCAAGAAGGAGCCCTAAATAAGGATGAGCTATCTACTGCTGCAGAATGAATTAACTTGAGGCGCAGTGGTTTAAAGCAACAGGTCTTTTCTTGCTGTTTCTGTGGGTGAGGAGCTCGGGAGCAGTCGCACTGGACGGTCCGGCTTGGAATGTCCTGTGGCCACAGGTGAGGTGTCTGCTGGGGCCACTGTCTCCAAAGGGCCGGCTTCCAAAATGGCGCCCTCACGAGGCAGCTGGTAGAGCACCTGGATTCCTTGTCTCCGTGTCCTCGCAGCACTCCATCTGCTTCCCCTAGAGCAGATGACCCGAGAGCGCCTCTGCGAGGACCTTGGCTCAGGAGTCACTGAGTCACAACGTCACCTCTGTCTTACCTCTGATGCTTAGAAGCCAGTCCTCAGTCCAGTCCTTTCTCAAGGGGTGTAGGAGGGGAATCGGGCACCACCTTTTCAAGGAAGGAGAATCAAATAATCTGTGGACGTATTTTAAAGCCAATCAAAATACATCATTAAGTCTAAGCCAACATGGACTATATACACAATAGTAGTAATAATAGTAATCGTGCTAATGGGGGGACCCAGGAGAGAACTGAGATCATGTAGAAAGGGCACGCAGGTAGGGGAGCCTGGAGCTGAGGCATTCTTAGTGCTCAAATTGTTCACAAGAAGGGAAAAAATACTCACTTTAGATTTCATTAAGTATGTATATTAAAATAACTAGGAGAGTCAGGTAAAATAGTGGTTATCCAGCATACACCTTCCCAAGAACGGAGGGGCAGGTGTACAGGGTAAGAAGAGGAAAAAGTTCAGTCTTAGAGGAAAACACAATAAGGTGATGGAGATATGTTGGTAATCACAATGTATGTGAGTGGACTCAACTCTAGTTCATTTTTTTTTAATTTACATTCAATTAACACAGTGTATTATTGGTTTCAGCAGTAGAGGTCAGTGATTCATCAGTTGCATATAATACCCAGTGCTCATGACGTCATATGCCCTCTTAATGCCCATCACCTGGTTACCCCATCCCCCACCCACCTCCCCTCCAGCAACCCTCAGTTTGTTTCCTTTTTTTTTTTTTAAGATTTTATTTATTCATTTATTTGACAGAGAGAGAACAAGCAGGGGGAGCGGTAGAGGCAGAGGGAGAAGCAGGCTCCCCGCTGAGCAGGGAGCCTAATTCGGGGCTCGATCCCAGGACCCCAGGATCACGACCTGAGCCAAAGGCAGACGCTTCACCAACTGAGCCATGCAGGCGTCCCTATTTTCAACTTCCGGAGGAACCTCCATACTGTTTTCCAGAGTGGCTGCACCAGCTTGCATTCCCACCAACAGTGTAGGAGGGTTCCCCTTTCTCCGCATCCTCGCTAACGTCTGTTGTTTCCTGACTTGTTAATTTTGGCCGTTCTGACAGGTGTGAGGTGGTATCTCATTGTGGTTTTGGTTTCTATTTCTCTGATGCCGAGTGACGTTGAGCACTTTTTCACGCGTCTGTTGGCCATTTGGATGTCTTCTTTGGAAAAATGTCTGTTCGTGTCTTCTGCCCATTTCTTGACTGGATTATTTGTTCTTTGGGTGGTGAGTTTGATAAGTTCTTTATAGATTTTGGATACTAGCCCTTTATCTGATATGTCATTTGCAAATATCTTCTCCCATTCTGTCGGTTGTCTTTTGGTTTT